AGCAATTATGAATGGGAGTTTGCTCTTGATTTGGATCTCTGTTTGTCTGTTATTGGTGTGTAGAAATACTTGTGATTTCTGCACATTGATTTTGTATCTTGAGACTGCTGAAGTTGCTTATCAGTTTCAGGAGATTTTGGGCTGAGACAAAGGGGTCTTCTAAATATACAATCATGTTGTGTGCAAATAGAGACAATTTGACTTCCTCCTTTCCTAACTGAATACCCTTTATTTCTTTTTCTTGCCTGATTGCTCTGGCTAGAACTTCCAATACTGTATTGAATAGGAGTGGTGAGAGAGGGCTAGTGCCAGATTTCAAAGGGAATACTTCCAGTTTTTGCCCATTCAATATGATACTGGCTGTGGGTTTGTCGTAAATAGCTTTTATTAGTTTGAGATAAGTTCCATTGATATTGACATATGTTTTATTGTTTATTGAGAGTTTTTAGCAAAAAGCGCTGTTGAATCTTGTCGAAGGCCTTCTCTGCATCTATTGAGATAATGTGGTTTTTGTCTTTGGTTCTGTTTATGTGGTGGATTACGTTTATACACTTGCATATGTTGAACCAGCCTTGCATCCCTGGTATAAAGCCTACTTGATCGTGGTGGATAAGCTTTTTGATGTGCTGTTCCAATTGGTTTGCCAGTATTTTATTGAAGATTTTTGCATCTATGTTCATCATAGATGAAGGCCATCATATTGGCCTGAAGTTTTCTGTTTTTGTTGAGTCTCTGCCGGGTTTTGGTATCAGGATGATGTTGGTCTTGTAACATGATTTGGGAAGGATTCCCTCTTTCTGTATTGTTGGAATAGTTTCTGAAGGAGTGGTTTCAGAAGCTCCTCTTTGTATGTCTGGTAGAATGCGGCTGTGAACCCATCTGGACCTGGGCTTTTCTTGGTTTGTAGGCTCAATTTGAGCCCTTGTTATTGGTCTATGCAGGGTTTTGACTTCTTCCTGGTTTAGGCTTGGGAGGGTGCAAGTGTCCAGGAATTTATCCATTTCTTCCAGGTTTACTGGTTTATGTGCATAGAGTTTGGAGTAATCTCTGATTGTAGTCTGTATTTCTGTGGAATCTGAGGTAATATCCCCTTTATTGTTTCTTATTGTGTCTACTTGATACTTCTCTCTTTTTTATTAATCAGGCTAGCGGTCTGTCTATTTTGTTGATCCTTTTAAAAAACCATCTCCTGGATTTATTAATTTTTGGAGGGTTTTTGTATCTCTGTCTCCTTCAGTTCTGCTCTGATCTTAGTTATTTCTTGTCTTCTGCTAGCTTCTGAGTTTTTTTGAGCTTGCTCCTCTAGCTCTTCCAATTTTGATAAGGTGTTGATTTTAGAGGTTTCCTTGCTTCTTATGTGGGCATTTATTGCTATAAATTTTCCTCTAGACACTGCTTTAAATGTGTCCCAGAGATTCTGGTACTTTGTGTCTTTGTTCTCATTGGTTTCAATGCATTTTTATTTCTGCCTTCATTTCATTGTTTATCCAGTCAACATTCAAGAGCCAGTTGTTCAGTTTCTACGAAGTTGTGCGGTTCTGAGTTAGTTTCTTAATCCTGAGTTCTAATTTGGTTGCACTGTGGTCTGAGAGGCTGTTTGTTATGATTTCCATTCTTTTGCATTTGTTGAGGAGTGGTTTACTTCCAATTATGTGGTCAATTTTAGAGTAGGTGTGATGTGGTGCTGAGAAGAATGTATATTCTGTGGATTTGGGGTGGAGAGTTCTGTGAATGTCTATTAGGTTTGCTTGGTCCAGATCTGAGTTCAAGATCTAGATATCCTTGTTAATTTTCTGTCTTGTTGATCTGTCTAATATTGACAGTGGAGTGTTAAAGTCTCCCACTATTATTGTGGGGGAGTCTAAGTCTCTTTGTAGGTCATTAAGAACTTGCTTTTTGTATCTGGGTGCTTCTGTATTGGGTGCATATATATTTAGGATCATTAACTCTTCTTGTTGCATTGATCCTTTTACCATTATGAAATGCCCTTCTTTGTCTCTTTTGATCTTTGTTGGTTTAAAGTCTATTTTTATCAGAAGCTAGGATTGCAATTCCTGCTTTTTTTTGCTCTCCATTTGCTTAGTAAATCTTCCTACATCCCTTTATTTTGAGCCTACGTATATCCTTGCACATGAGATGAGTTTCCTGGATACACAGATGAGTTTTGACTTTTTATCTAATTTGCTATACTGTGTCTTTTGATTGGCGCATTTAGCCCATTTACATTTATGGTTAATATTGTTATGTGTGAAATTGATCCAGCCATATTGATGCTAGCTGGTTGTTTTACCCATAGTTGATGCAGTTTCTTCATTGTGTCGATGCTCTTTACCATTTTGGTATGTTTTTGGAGTGGCTGGTACTGGTTGTTCCTTTCTATGATTAGTGCTTCTTTCAGGGGTTCTTGTAAGGCTGGCCTGGTGGTGATGAAAACTCTCAGCAGTTTCTTCTTAGTAAAGGATTTTATTTCTCCTTCTCTTATGAAGCTTAGTTTGGCTGGATATGAAATTCTAGGTTGAAAGTTCTTTTCTTTAAGGATGTTGAATATTGGCCCTCACTCTCTTCTGGCTTGTAGAGTTTCTGTCGAAAGATCTGCTGTGAGTCTGATGGACTTCCCTTTGTGGGTAACCCGACCTTTCTCTTTGGCTGCGCTTAGCATTTTCTCCTTCATTTCAACCCTGGTGAATCTAACAATTATGTGCCTTGGGGTTGCTCTTGAGGAATATCTTTGTGGTGTTCTCTGTATTTCCTGGACTTGAATATTGGCCTGCCTTGCTAGGTTGGGGAAGTTCTCCTGGATGATATCCTGAAGAGTGTTTTCCAGCTTGGATTCATTTTTCTCTGTCACATTCAGGTACACCTATCAAACGTAGATTACGTCTTTTCACATAATTCCATATTTCTTGGAGGCTTTATTCTTTTTTTTTCACTTTTTTTTTCTAATCTTGCCTTCTCGTTTTATTTCATTGAGTTGATTTTCAGTCTCTATTATCCTTTCTTCTGCTTGGTCAATTCAGCTGTTGAAACTTGTGTATGCTTCACAAAGTTCTTGTATTGTATTTATCAGCTCCATCAAGTTATTTATATTCTTCTCTAAGCTGTTTATTCTTGTTAGCATTTCATCAAACCATTTTTCAAGGTTCTTAGTTTCTTTGCATTGGGTTAGAACATGTTTTTTTAGCTCAGAGAAGTGTTATTACCCATCTTCCAAAGCCTGTTTCTGTCAATTCATCAGACTCATTCTCCATCCAGCCTTGTTCCCTTGCTGGTTGGGAGTTGTGATCCCTTGTAGAAGGAGAGGCATTCAGGTTTTGGGTGTTTTCATCCTTTTTGCACTGGTTTCTTCCCATCTTTGTGGATTTATCTACCTGTGGTCTTTGTAGTTGGTGACTTTCAGATGCCACCTCTCAGTGGATGTCCTTTTTGTTGTTGTTGAAGTTATTTCTTTCTGTTTTTTAGTTTTCCTTCTAACTAAAAGACCCCTCTGCTGTAGAACTGCTAGAGGTCTACTCCAGGCCCTGCTTGCCTGGGGATCCACCTGTGGTGGCTGCAGAACCGTTAGGGTTACTGCCAGTTTCTTCTGTTTTCTTTGTCCCAGAATGATATGCGCCAGATGTCAGCCTGAACTCTTCTTTATGAGGTGTCTCTTTGAACATACGGGCGTCAGGGAGCTGCTTGAGGAGACAGTCTGTCCCTTATAGGAGCTCAGCTGCTGAGCTGAGAGCTCTATTCTGTTCAGAGCTGCTGGGCAGGTATGTTTAAGTCTACTGCAGCGGAACTCTTAACTGTCGTTTTTCCCAGGTGCTCTGTCCTGGGAAGGTGGGGCTTTATATATTAGTTCCTCACATGCTGCCTTTTTTCTGAGATGCCTTGCTCAGCAAGGAGGTAGTCTAGTCAGTCTGCCAGCAGCGACATTGCTGAGCTGTTGTGGGCTCTTCCAGCTGCTGCCTGAACTTTTTGTGGTTTTGTTTACAGAGGTACAGTTAGAACTGCATTGGTAATGGCAGTCTGCCTCATTAGTGGTGGACTGCCTCAGTATGGTGGACAGCCTCAGTATGGTGGACAGCCTCGGCAAGGGCTGACGCCCTTCCCTGCACCAAGCTGGGCCATCCTGGGTCCAGCTGTGCTTGCTGCAAACCTCTCAACCCAGAACGTTTCAGATTGCTGGTCTTTGTTGGAGTGGGACCCACTGAGCCAGATCACCTGACTCCCTGTTTCAGCCCCCATATTTTCAGTTGACTGGATGGCTCTGTCTCACAGGCGTTCCAGACGCCAGTTGAAATAGCTGCCCAGATTTGTGTGAGTTTTTGGGTGAAGACCCACAGCGCCAACTGAAACAGCCATTCTAGAAACTCGTGGCACTTTTCAGCCTGGGAATTCCCTGGTCTGTGGGCAGTAAAAACTCATTTGGAAATGCGGTGATCACTCACCCTCTGCGTTGTTCTCCCTGGGAACTGCACTCCAGAGCTGTTCCTATTCGGCCATCTTGGATCTCCCACCAAGACAGCTTTAACTTACTTTAAGTTCCAGGGTTCATGTGCACGATGTGTACTTTTTTTACATAGGTAAATGTGTGCCATGGTGGTTGTTGTACCTATCAACCCATCACCTGAGTATTAAGCCCAGCAGTCATTGGCTATTTTTCCTGATGCTCTCCTTCCCCCATATACCCCCAACTCCCGACAGACCCAGTGTGTGTTGTTCCCTTCCCTGTGTCCATGTGTTCTCATTGTTCAGCTCCCACTTATGAGTGAGAACATTGACGTGATGTTTCATTTTCTTTTCCTGCATTAGTTTGTTTAGGATAATGGCTTCCAGCTCCATCCATGTCCCTGCAAAGGACATGATCTTGTTCTTTTATGGCTGCATAATATTCCATGATGTATACATACCACATTTTCTTTGTCCAGTCTATCATTGATGGGCATTTGGGTTGAGTCCATGTCTGTGCTATTGTGAATAGTGCTGCAGTGAATATACATGTAAAGATACATGATCTTAGCTTTGTGCAGTGGCAGTATCGTAGCCAATGAAGTTTATCCGAGGCGCAATTATTGCTAATCGAAAACTTTTGCAATACCCCATTGTGATGACCTGCCATATAGTCAGCACCGGCAATTTTTGACAGTGTCTATGGAGACTGAATTTTTAAAAAAAAAAGATACATGATCTTTATAATGGAATGATTTCTGTTTCTTGGGGTATATACTTAGTAATGGAATTGCTGAGTCAAATGGTATTTCTGATTCTGGATCTTTGAGGAATTGCCACACTGTCTTCCACATTGGTTGAACTAATTTACATTCCCACCAATAACTTGAGTCAGTTTTTGATTCATAAACATTCAGTGCTTGGCTACTAATTCCTGCTTTAATTTTAAAAGTTTATTATATGCAAATTGGACAATTCTGTAAACGTGGTGCTATTCCCTATGTATTTTCTCTAAAGCATGTTAAAAAAAAAACAACTAGGTATAGTGGCTTGTGTCTGTAATCTAGGACTTTGGGGGGGTAAGGTAGGAGGATCACTTGTGGTCAGCAGTTTAAGAACATACTGGGCAACATAGTGAGACCCCATCTCTACAAGCTATGTCATAGCTGTTCAGGTTGCTCAGACAGGAGGACCACTTGAGCCCAAGCGGCTGAAGCTTCAGTGAATCAAAATGGTACCAGTGCACTCCAATCTGGGCCACAAAATGAGACCTTGTTCTAAAAAAAAAAAAAAATTACATAGAGGAAATATTTGCTAAATTTAATGTAGGCCAGTTCTAAAATAATGATTTGTTGTTGTTGTTACATAATTTCCTTAAAGATATTAGATATTGTATACTGTTATTTCTGTATTTCTGCATCTCTACATGTGTAATTCTGTCCTCCGTCTTTGTTGCAACAATTCACTTATCAACTAAACTGTGTGTTTATAAAGTGATTTTATCTCCTTATGAGAAGATTATAGTGAATAGCTCAGTGAATGTTAGAGTTGGAGGGAACAGAGTACAGAACTGTTTGAAGTTTGAATTAAGTTTTTAGAGACAAATACTTAATACTATATATATCATAGTTATAGCCAATGAAAAAGCTAATATAGGCCAGGCATGGTGACTCATGCCTGTAATCCCAGCACTCTGGGAGGCTGAGGCAAGTGGATCACTTATAGTCAAGAGTTTGAGACCAGCCTGGCCAATATGGTGAAACCCACCTTTACTAAAAAAGCAAAAATTAGCCAGGTGTGGTGGTATATGCCTGTAATCCCAGCTACTTCAGAGGCCAAGGCAGGAGAATCACTTGAATCTGGGAGATGGAGGTTGCAATGAGCTGAGATCATGCCACTGCACTCCAGCCTGGGTGACAGAGCAAGACTCCATCTCAAAAAAAAAAGCTAATACATGTGATCACTGATGAAATAAAATGCAATTAAGAACTTGTTAGTAGAAAATTCAGAGGGTCAAGAAATTTAACAAAACAGTTTAACTCATTTGCCTTTATCATTGAGATTAGATAATCTTTCAGGCTGTTAATATATGGACCCTGTTTTTTAAAATTGTGGGTTTTTTTTAATGTAAAAGAATTAAGAAAATGTTTACTTTTCTAATTCCTTTTCTCTGCCTTTTCTGTTCACACCAGTTTTTGTTTGTTTGTTTTTGTTTTTGAGACGGAGTCTCGCTCTGTTGCCCAGGGTGGAGTGCAGTGGTGCAATCTCGACTCACTGCAACCTCCATGTCCTGGGTTCAAGCAGTTCTCTGTCTCAGCCTCCCAGTTAGCTGGGATTACAGGCACCTGCCACCATGCCTGGCTAATTTTTTGTATTTTTGGTAGAGATGGGGTTTCACCATCTTGGCCATGCTGGTCTTAAACTCCTGACCTTGTGATCCACCCACCTTGGCCTCCCAAAGTGCTGGGATTACAGGTGTGAGCCACCACACCCAGCCATACACCAGTATTATTAATAGCAATGAAATTTTTTCCATTTTATTTTCCAATAAAAATTACTTTGAGTTTTGTGTATGGTAGCTAGCTACTTCCTTGACGTAGATACTAATTTTGATTGAGTTGGTACCTATTATTAAAAAGAAAAAGGTCTAGTTTATCTTTAGCTAAAAAATATAATAACTAAGAAATAGAAGATATTTAAGGTTCTTTCGGCTTTAAATCTGACATTCACTTATTTTCATGCAATTCGTGTTTTGAACACTACCTTTTTTTTTTTTTTTTTTTTTTTTTTAGAGACAGTGTCTCATTCTGTTACCTAGTCTGGAGTACACTGGTGTGATCTCAGCTGACTGTAGCCTCAACCTCCTGGACTCAAGCAGTCCTTGCACCTCACCCTCCTGAGTAGCTGGCACCATAGGCATATACCACCACACCCAGCTAATTTTTATTTTTCGTAGAATCACGGTTTCACTACGTTGCCCAGGCTGGTCTTGAACTCCTGGGCTTAAGCAATCTTTCTGCCTCTGCCTTTCAAAAGTGCTGGGATTACAGGCATGAGCCACCATGCCCAAACACTACCTTTTTACCTGAATATGATTGATGTTGCCTTAATTTTGTCACTTTGTGTTTTTATATTTAGGTTTATTGCATCCTTCTGTCCAAAGAAACTGTTCACAGATTGATTCTGGAGAACCAACTTTGTCCTTAACCAGCTCTTCTGGGACAATTCTGAGGAAATGTACTAGAAATGAAACATGTTGTAATAATATAATAATCTCTCAGGATCTTGATTATAAAGAAGCAAAATGTAATAAGGAAAAAACGCAGTTATTTATTACCCCAGAAGCTGATTCTCTGTCATGCCTGCAGGAAGGACAGTGTAAAAATTATCCAAAAAGCAAAGAAGTTTCTGATATAAAAGAAGAGGTCTTGGCCACAGCATGTCACCTGGCACAACATTCAGAAGTGGAATATTGTGATACTGACTTTCAGTCCCAGAAAACTATTTTACATGACCATGAAAATGCCAGCTCTCTTATTTTAACTCCTGCTTTCAAGGATGTACTGTCAGGCAAAGAATCATACAGAATTTCAGACGAGCTCAAATGTAACAATTGTGAAGCCGATTTTGAGTTAATCAAAAATATTTCCATGGAAAATAATCAAGATGTACACGCCTTAAATGAAAATTCTAAAAACATTGAGCTGTTGCCACCCGAAAAATACATAATAGTAGCATCACCTTCAAGATACGTACAGTTCAACCAAAACACAAATCTAAGAGTAATCCAAAAAGATCAAGAAGAAACTACTTTAATTTCAAAAATGACTGTCAGTCCAGACTCTGAAGAACTTTTATCAGACAATGAGAATAATTTTGTCTTCCAAGTAGCTAGTGAAAGGAATAATTTTGCTTTAGAAAGTACTGAGGAACTTCATGAAGCAGACTTGACTTGTGTAAACAAACCCAATTTTGAGAACTCTACCATGGTATTACATGCAGACATAGTTGATAAACAAGCAACCCAAGTGTCAATTAAAAAAGATTTAGACTCATCAAATAAAGTTTATTATCTTGCAGAGGAGAAAAAAAATAGTGTAAAGCAGCATCTAGAAATGACTCTAGGTCAAGATATAAAATCAGACATCTCCTTGAATATAGATAAAATACCAAACAAAAATAATGATTACAAGGACAAATGGGCAGGACTCTTACATCCAATTTCAAATCACAGTTTTGGAGGTAGCTTCAGAACAGCTTCAAATAAGGAAATCAAGCTCTCTGAACATAACATTAAGAAAAGCAAAATGCTCTTCAGAGATATCGAAGAACAATATCCTACTAGTTCAGCTTGTGTTGAAATAGTAAATACCTTGGCATTAGATAATCAAAAGAAACTAAGCAAGCCTCAGTCAATTAAGACTGTATCTGCACATGTACAGAGTAGTGTAGTTGGTTTTGATTGTAAAAATAGTCTTACAACCCCTCAGATGTTATTTTCAAAGGAAGATTTTAATTCAAATCATAACTTAACACCTAGCCAAAAGGCAGAAATTACAGAACTTTCTACTATATTAGAAGAATCAGGAAGTCAGTTTGAATTTACACAGTATAGAAAACCAAGCTACATATTGCAGAATAATATGTTTGAAGTACCTGAAAACCAGATGACTATCTTAAATAGCACTTCTGAAGAATACAGAGATGCTGATCTTCATCTCGTAATGAACGCGCCATCTATTGGTCAGGTAGACAGCAGGAAGCAATTTGAAGGTACAGTTGGAATTAAACAAAAGTTTGCTGTTTTGTTGAAAAATGACTGTAACAAAAGTGCGTCTGGTTATTTAACAGATGCAGATGAAGTGGAGTTGAGAGGCTTTTATTCTGCTCATGGCGTAAAACTGAATGTTTCTACTGAAGCTCTGCAAAAAGCTGTGAAACTGTTTAGTGATATTGAGAGTATTAGTGAGGAAACTTCTGCAGCAGTAGATCCAATAAGTTTATCTTCAAGTAAATGTCATGATTCTGTTGTTTCAGTGTTTAAGATAGAAAATCATGATGAGAAAAATAATGAATGCCAACTAATATTACAAAATAATATTGAAATGACTACTGGCACTTTTGTTGAAGAAATTACTGAAAATTACAAGAAAAATATTGAAAATGAAGATAAACATACTGCTACCAGTAGAAATACTCATAACTTAGAATTTGATGGCAGTGATTCTAGTAAAAATGATACTGTTCATATTCATAAAGATGAAAATGACTTGCCACTTACTAATCAGCACAACATATATCTTAAATTATCTGGCCAGTTTATGAAGGAGGGAAACACTCAGATTAAAGAAGATTTGTCAGATTTAACTTTTTTGGAAGTTGTAAAAGCTCAAGAAACATGTCATGGTAATACTTCAAATAAAGAACAGTTAACTGCTACTAAAATGGAGCAAAATATAAAAGACGTTGGGACTTTTGATCTGTCTTTTCAGACAGCAAGTGGGAAAAATATTAGTATCTCCAAAGAGTCATTTAATAAAGTTGTAAATTTCTTTGATCAGAAACCAGAAGAACTGCATAACTTTTCCTTAAATTCTAAATTACATTCTGACATAAGAAAGAACAAAATGGACATTCTAAGTTATGAGGAAACAGACATAGTTAAAAACAAAACACTGAAAGAAAGTATCCCAGTTGGCACTGGAAATC